ACCCGATCCGGGTCGCGATCGTGGGAACCCGACCCAAATCGAGATCCTGGGAACCCGATCCGGGTCGCGATCCTAGGAACCCGATCCGGGTCGCGATCGTGGGAACCCGACCCAAATCGAGATCCTGGGAACCCGATCCGGGTCGCGATCCTAGGAACCCGATCCGGGTCGCGATCGTGGGAACCCGACCCAAACCGAGATCCTGGGAACCCGATCCAGGTCGCGATCGTGGGATCCCGATCCGGGACGCGGTCGTGGGAACCCGATCCCGATTCCCCCGAATGGCGGCCTTGGGGGCCGAGCGTCCGCGTTTCCCACCGGCGCCGCTAGGGGGCGGGCTGCCTCAAGTCAAAGCCAAGCACCCCAACCCAAACAACGCCGCCGCCGCCACCTGTAGCAGCCGCCGCCGCCCGGCTCACCCCCGCCCCGGGAAAGGGGAGAGGCCCGCTCCGCCCAGGACGCGGCGGCGGCGGCGGTCATCTGCCCGACGCCCCCCCCCTCCCAGCGGCTCCACCCGGCTGCAGCGCCGGAGTCGCTCCGGTTGGGCTGGGAAGGGGAGCCCCCGCCGCCCCTTTCCCAGCTGGCGCGGGGGGGGGGGGAAGCCTGGCCAACCCAGCTGACACAACCCCGCGGGCCGCTTGGGATCCCGCGCATCCTGGCAGGTCCTCGGGGAAAGGCGCCTCTCCCTGCCCGGTCACCCCGGGTGGCGGGCGGGGAAGCCTCTCCCGGGAAGGGCAGGAGGCGCGGGGGATGCACCTGCTCTCGGAGCCCTCTCGGAGCCCGGCTGGAGGGGACCGGGGCAGGGTCTCCCCGGGCGAGGCTCCAGCCGGGCTCCCCTCCCCTCCGCCGGCCGGCCGTGACTTCAGCCTCCCCGGCGGGGATCCGGCTCAGCCTCGCCGGGGAAGAAGCGGAAAGGGGAGGGGGCTGCAGAGGGAGGGGAGACCCCCGCCCGCCTTCCCGGCTCCTGAGCCCCTCCGGGCGGCCAGAGGAGGGGAAGGGAGGGAGGCTCAGCCGAAGCAGGAGGGGCTCCCCGGGGCAGACCCCCCCCCCGACCTCCCGCCCCCCTCGCCCACCGGCAGAGACTTACGTATCTCCGTAACTTCTTCTCGGGGGGCGATTTGCGGAGCCAGCCGGAGCAAACCACTTCGCCGGAGCCGCCGCTGCCGGGGCCGCCGCCGGCGCTGCTCATGCTGGAGGCGGCCGGAGGGGCGGGAGGCTCCGGGGACGGCCGGACGGAGCCGCATCCGAGCTCGGCCAGCCGGGGCCGGAGGGGGGAAGCCGCCGCCGCCGCCGCCGCTGCTCTCCGCTTCCCGGGCAAGCTAAGCCGCGCACGGAGGATCTCGCCATCGCCGCTGCCTTTCCCCGGGCGCCGCCTCCATCGCGCTCCTCGCCGGGCTGCTCCCCGCCGGCGATCCTCCCTCCCTCCCTCCCTCCCTCGGCCGGCTCCCTCCGCCCCCTGCTGCTCGTCCTCCCCTCCGGCCGGATCGCTCCGCCGACTCCCACTTCCCCGGGAAGCAAGACGCGCCACCCCGCCCGGCCACACCACGCCTCCCGCCCCGCTGCCTTGCACAGAGGAGGCGAAGCTGGAAGGGCCGGAGGCGGCTGGGCTGGGCTGGGCGCTCTTCCCCGGGGAGGGGGCTTCAGCCCTCCCCCCATCACCCCCTACACTCCCCCTCCCCCCCACCCCCCTCCATCATCCTCCATACGCCTCACCCCTCCCCATCAC